AAGGAGGAGCTCTAACAATGTGAAATACTTAAAAAAAAAAAATTTAACATTCCAGCATGAAAACCTATTCTAGTAGAGCCCAAAAACAAAATCAAGACTTTGTAAAAGGGCCAAATAAGGCCTAGCTCCTTAAAGTCTAACCACTGCAGTGGTCAAATTACAGCAAAGGCTTAAAAAGAGCAAATGTGTTGATTTGTTTGGCCATTACATAGAATTACTTCATTAAAAGAATTACACTTTAACTGAAACACTTTATCATATACAGTCCATGAACACTCTTCAGTGGTGATTTTTGTTTGTGCATAAACAATCTCACGGCAATAATCCGCTGAATTAAGTGTGCAAGTCCTTCATTGTGGGTCTCACTAACCATCTCTGTCTCTGCAGTGCACAGGCACATAATCCTGCAAATCCCAGCAACACTGTTTAGACCCGAGCCACGGGATGATGTTTGTGGTGCCAGGGCTAGTTCAAGGATTTCATTGAGCTAAATACCCAACTGTGTTAATGTGCAATTCTGCTCTGTTAGGGTGAAGATTATTAATGACTGAGAGGCATAGAAGTAATATAGAGAAAATTTGAGGGAAGATTTTTTTTTAAAAAAAGCCCACCAGACACACACACACATAGTATAGAAACCATTTTTACACAGAAATTGCTAGTAAATATCACCATTGATTAGAAAGAAATGGCAAGTATCATATTGAATTAAAAAAAAAATTTTAAGTAGAATGACTGCCATAGTATTTTAGTACAAAACGTACTTCATCTGTTTTATTTGAAATTTTTTTTTACATTATATAAACAGATACTATAGTTCAGGGTCTGAATTCTGGACGTTTTTGAGAAATAATATTCTATATAGCAACACAGAGAAATAACAGCTCTGTTTATCTAGATATACATTTGTACAAATATTTTAATACATTAATTTATGCAATTGACAACATGTCCACAATGACCAGTCCTAAAATACAGATGTTTAAGAGAAAAAAAAGTTTACAATTTACAGTGGAGATACAGGTCTATTTGCATTTTAACTTCACTAAGTTACTGGCCGAATTAAAGGATAAACTATTAGATAACATGCACAAAATTCACACTTTCTTTATTTAGTCTTAAAAAATATAAGGGGGGTTTTGCAGCAATATCATAGAACAAACATTTAAAAAAATCTGAATAACCTTTTTCCACTATAAATAACCTTGTGTGGCATGGAAAGGTTCCACGGATATTTAAGGTTCTTCATGGAAGCATCAATTCCAATTAAAAACGTTTATTTTTAGTGTAATATAGGGTTTTGTAATTACTTGAGATCATTCAAACGCATCACTTAATAAGCACAAACCTCATCTTATAACTAGTCCTTATAACTAATGTCAACCTCACCTAGTAGGAACAAATAATGATCTCTATTTTTATTTCGTCTGAGATCTAGATTTAACACTTTCAGAGTTCCCAAAACTACTCTCCTCGGCTCACGACACACATCCTAGAGAAGATTTCCCATCTACATTCATATTTGATCCATCCTAAGCCCCTTTGTAGGTTTGTTAATGGCTGTTTTTATGACAACAGAACATTGGGGATTACACTGCTCTTCTCTCTCTCTCTCTCTCTCTCTCTCTCTCTCTCTCTCTCTCTCTCTCTCTGTGTATGGTAAGTAACAGAGGAGAGAGTGTCATGTAATGAGATTCAGATAGAATGATGTCTGTGATGTTAGATCAAATCAATTAATTATTCTTGTGCAATGGAATTAGTGATATTGTGCTAAGGCAGCTTATTTATAGGCTTTGAATAGTATTTGTTGTCACTCTGATAGACAGTGACTTGTTTGCAATGTGTTTTGAATAGCATGCATAAAATGGCCCTGCTACTATCCTTAATAGCGTCTTGCTAAGATAGGCAATTTGGTTATTGTGAGTATTTGCAGCGTGGGGGTGGTGATGGCGCAGTGGATAAGACACATGCCCTTGGTGTTAGAAACCCGGGTTCGAATCCACTGTGAGACACCAATGTGTCCCTGAGCAAGACACTTAACCCCTAGTTGCTCCAGAGGCATGTGACCTATGTAGCAATATAGGTCCCATATATAGCAATTGTAAGTCGCTTTGGATAAAAGCGTCAGCTAAATTAGTAAATGTAAAATGTGTTTCTGTATGAGTATTTGCAGCACGTATGTGGTTGAGTTTTGAGTATTTGCAGCACGTTTCTGTATTTGGTTGAGTTGTGAGTATTTGCATTGTGTGTCTGTCTTTGGTTGTGTTTTGAGTATTTGCAGCGTGTTTCTGTATTTAGTTGCATTGTAAGTATTTGCAGCGCATTTCTGTATGTGGTTGCGTTGTGAATAATTTCAGTACATTTCTGTATTTGTTTGAGTTGTGAGTATTTGCAGCAAGTTTCTGTATGTGGTTGAGTTGTGAGTATTTGCAGCGAGTTTCCGTAATTAGTTGCGTTGTGAGTATTTGCAGCGAGTTTCTGTATTTAGTTGCATTGTGAGTATTTGTAGCAAGTTTCTGTATTTGATTGAGACTATTTGTAGCTCGTTTCTGTATGTGGTTGCATTATGAGTATTTGCAGCTTGTTTCTGTATTTAATTGCGTTGTGAGTTTTTGCAGCAAGTTTCTTTAATTAGTTGCATTCTGAGTATTAGCGAGTTTCTGTATTTAGTTGCATTGTGAGTATTTGCAGCAAGTTTTTATATTTAGCTGTGTTGAGTATTTGCAGAGTGTTTCTGTATTTAGTTGCATTGAGACTATTTGCAGCTTGTTTCTGTATGTGGTTGCATTGTGAGTATTTGCAGCTCGTTTCTGTATTTAATTGCGTTGTGAGTTTTTGCAGCAAGTTTCTTTAATTAGTTGCATTCTGAGTATTAGCGAGTTTCTGTATTTAGTTGCATTGTGAGTATTTGCAGCAAGTTTTTATATTTAGCTGTGTTGAGTATTTGCAGAGTGTTTCTGTATTTAGTTGCATTGAGACTATTTGCAGCTTGTTTCTGTATGTGGTTGCATTGTGAGTATTTGCAGCTCGTTTCTGTATTTAATTGCGTTGTGAGTTTTTGCAGCAAGTTTCTTTAATTAGTTGTGTTGTGAGTATTAGCGAGTTTCTGTATTTAGTTGCATTGTGAGTATTTGCAGCAAGTTTTTATATTTAGTTGTTTTGTGAGTATTTGCAGCAAGTTTCTGTAATTAGTTGCGTTGTGAGTATTTGCAGCGAGTTTCTGTATTTAGTTGCGTTGTGAGTATTTGCAGCGAGTTTCTATATTTAGTTGCATTGTGAGTATTTGCAGCAAGTTTCCGTAATTAGTTGCGTTGTGAGTATTTGCAGCGAGTTTCTGTAATTAGTTGCGTTGTGAGTATTTGCAGCGAGTTTCCGTAATTAGTTGCGTTGTGAGTATTTGCAGCGAGTTTCTTTATTTAGTTGCATTGTAAGTATTTGCAGAAAGTTTCCGTAATTAGTTGCGTTGTGAGTATTTGCAGCAAATTTTTATATTTAGTTGTGTTGTGAGTACTTGCAGAGTGTTTCTGTATTTAGTTGCATTGTGAGTATTTGCAGTGCGAAATTAATAATTTTATTCAGCAAGGATGCATTCAATTGATCAAAATGCTGTTCTTTTGAACTTAACTTTCTATTAATCAAAGAAAAACTGCATCATGATTTCCACAAAAATATGAAGCAGCACAACTGTTTTCAAGATTGATTGATAATCAGAAATGTTTCTTGAGTAGAAAATTAGCATATTAGAATGATTTCTAAAGGAGAGATGATGCTGAAAATTCAGCTTTGATCACAGGAATAAATTTCATTTAAAAATATATTCACATAGAAAACAGATATTTTAAATTGTAATACTATTTCACAATATTACTGTAATTTTGATCAAATGAATGCAGCGTTGTTGAGCATTCTTTAAAAAAAATAAAAATATTACTAACACCATACTTTTTAACGGTAGTGCATAAAGACATGTACACATAAAATTGTCACAAATTTTCTCATTAGTGCCGATTTTATTCTCCTTTCAGAGATTTTTCGGCTAATCATGAGATAACTTTCTGCTTGGCAAACCCAGTACTGTAAGATCTCTTCTCTTGTCTCTGACATAGGTTGTAAGCATGGTATTGTGCTCCACAGCATTATATAAACCTGTGTGTGTGTTTGAACACATTGTCAGGGAGATCGTGTTTGCACGATCACTCTCTCTCTCTTTCTGCCTTTGTGCGAGAGATTTACAGATGGCCTCGTTTTGCGGCTCTGCTGTCCAGCTGTTGGCAGTTCCATTACTAAATGATCCCTCTGTCAGATTGACATGCGTCTGTCCTCTGCTTGGCCTGTCACTCAAACTTAATGTCACCATGGTAACCGAGAAAAAAAGAGGACTCAGGATGGACTGAGGTCAGGAGGAAAAAAAATTAACTGCAACTCGATACCCATCTGTTTACTTATAATCTTTTTGGGGGACCTCAACTGCTGTGCTGTCCGAGATGGTTTCATATCCTATAGCCTACAAAATGTATACACAAACGCCACCAACATAGCGAAGAAAAAAAATCATAAATATCATAGTGAAGATAAATATACTTTAAGTACATTAAGATAACTCATTTGTTATTGTCACTTGGTTTGGTTAAGGATACTAATGGCATTTTTTAAAGTACTTTTGGCCAGATTCACTATAGGTTCTGTATATGAAGCGCCTGACAGACCCTTTAAGGTTGTATAAATAACCTTTTCTTCTATGTTTTACATTATCATTCCCGCTGTTAAATATCTTCATGTTTCTTTCATACACAGGAAGTGCCCTGATGGGTTTGACTGTTTAAAAACAGGTCGAAACCCAAACTATGGCTACACAAGCTTTGACACATTTGGCTGGGCCTTCCTGGCTCTCTTCAGACTAATGACACAAGACTACTGGGAGAACCTCTACCATCAGGTACAAGCCTTGACATTGAACACATAATAACCTTTTATCACAGAGACTAATTATTATTACAAACCTCTGCTATCTTCCTCTCCGCGGCAGACTTTGCGGTCAGCAGGGAAGACCTACATGATTTTCTTTGTGCTGGTGATATTTCTGGGTTCGTTTTACCTTGTGAACTTGATCCTGGCTGTCGTGGCCATGGCGTATGAGGAGCAAAACCAGGCGACCATCGCAGAAGCCTGGGCAAAAGAAAGAGAGTTTCAGCTGGCAATGGAACAGCTACGCAAGGAACAGAGTGTAATTCGACAACTATTCTTATTAACAGTCTGAAATAAACCTGGACCTTAAAGGGATACTTCACCTCTAGAAAGATGAATGTGTATTTAAAATGGGTCATTTATGTAGAAGAAATGTGGGTGTGTGTGTATTTTTGAATTTGGAGCTTTCTAGACTGAGAAAAGCCAGAAAATGTATTTTTGGCTTATGTGGACTCCCAGAATGCACTTGCTTCGCTGCCCTAGGAGGCCACGCCTACCGGTAACAGAGCGCAGTAGTTAAACAACAAGTCTAGGCTACTAGTGATGAGTCTGCCCAAAAATGTGTTTCGAGATCGCCCAAAATGTCCGGGATTCGGCTTTTGCGTTCTCCAGTCGCCATTCATCATGTTTACTGTGGCGAGCGGGACGAGTGAGGGCCGCGGGAGAACGGCGCGAGGCCGGTGGCGGGATTACCGATGAGCGACACCTGTGAGACGCACCGGTCTCGTATCTCTCACTGAGGAGCGGGAATTTTCTTAGCGATGTTAAAACACACATCAACCGATCACTTGTTTAGCGTTCATGTAGACACTACATTCAGATTCACCAATCGGACTGAATTTGGTTAGATTGAAACAAAAGCTGTGCATGTAAACAATGAATGGCGACTGCAGAAAGCAAAAGCTGAATCCCGGACATCGACGGCCGGACATGTCCGGGAAAAAGAGGATGGGAACCCCGACTACTCAGCTTTCTCCACAGAACAAGAGCCTGCTAGCTTAGCTTCCAAAAAAAGATGGCCGACACTATGTGTTCATTCTGTGAGTGAGATCGCCCTCTATGGGCAGGTAGAGGACATGCAGGACAGACACACTACTGACTGTATTCTTTAGCCTCTAGACAAAAAAATCCTCTGATGACGTAAAATGACGATTTTTACGTCATTGGAGGATTTTTTTCCAGACAAAAAAATAAATGAATCTCTCGTCTCAGGGGGATATGAGGGTGGAAAGCACGGTAATTCGAAAACACTACAGGTTTTCTACTAATACAAAGCTTAATGCTAAATCCTGAAGTATCCCTTTAACTTTATGTGTTGGCCCAGATTCGGCCCACATCTGGACCGACACTGTTGGTTTCTGGGATGGATTGCAAATGTTTCTGAACACAGCTTAAAATGACTGAAATTATGTTCTTTTCCCAGCAAACAACCTAAAATGTTTTGCTTTGCACTGCAAGAACTTAGTTATTATTATACTCATTGCAAATTCAGATCAAGCACATCTTATTTTTCTGTTCTCTTTGGTGTCAGGCATTAGCAAAACAGCGTAGAAAAGACGCTGAGATGGCCCTGGCAGTGGATTTATCTCCGTCAACCTTCAGTCGGAAAGACTCTTTGAAAGTCCAAAGTAGACCGAGATCCCACAGAACGCTGTCAGAGGAGACGGAGGACAACATTTTGCCAAAATTTGACCCGTTTGATGAGAAAGTAAGCATTTCCAATCTATTTCAAACCTGTTTTATTTATATTTGGCTTTAAGGAACACTCATTTTTTGAAGATTAAAAAACAGCATTTATTAATCCTATTTCATGCATGAACTAATGTTAAGAAATGAGACATATTGTAAAGTGTTACCCTTCAGCACATTTAAAGGGATACTCCACTTTTTTTTGAAAATAGGCTCATTTTAGCACTCCCCTAGAGTTGAACAGTTGGGTTTTACCGTTTTCGAATCCATTCAGCCGATTTTCGGGTATTTAGAAGAATATCAGGAACCAGACAGTTTCTGGTCTCATTGACTTCCATGGTATATATTTTTTTTCTACTATTGAAGTCAATGAGACCAGAAACTGTCTGTTTACTGATATTCTAGCTGTAACTCGTTACATACCAGCCTCCTACAGATCTGCAGCTCAATAAGCAATATAGTCCAGCGCGGCGGTGGCTACACATAACCATGTTGTAAAAAATAAATGAGAAAACATCTCTATTGCAAATGCAAACCCCTCCGTCAGTGTAAATACCAGTGCCGTATTGCCAGAGAGCTGCATGGACTCACAAATCGGTTCTGAACAGTTGCGATAAACAGTGTGGACATATTAGATCAGATTCAAATCGGAAAGATAAACGGATTTAGACTGACAGTGTGAATGTAGCCATAGTTAATACGTTAGCCATAGTCAAAGCTTCACTTACCCATGTGGCTGATGAGCTGATGCTGTGCCTCTCTCAACCACAAACGCCTTCTTTCATCAGTTTTTTTGCACCCTTCTCTTTAATTTTTGGCAGTATATAGAACTCGAAAGGTATTTTCCCAATGCGACCGATTAGTACAGACCAAAACTCGACCATTTTTCAGCAGAAATAATTATTATAGCTACATTTGCGAGTCCGTTCAGTTCAATGGCATTGTTTATGTTCTGTGCCTCCAAAATGGCCGACTTCCGGATTGATGACGCGTCGTGAAAACCCGCTTCTTCATTTGATGTTTTATGGCGGTTGGCAAACCAACTTTCGGTGGATTACCGCCACCTATTGGACTGGAGTGTGAAGCACTTAAAAATGAAAACAATAATTGACTTAAAAAAAAAATAAAAAAAAATAAAAAACCTAACCATCCCCACACTTCAAATTCTCCAGTCTATTCCTATTTCTTTGAGATACTTCATTATCACACTGTATATTTTTACTTGTTCTACTTGCTTTCCCAAAAAACTTTCCATACTGAATAACCTTTCTTTTCCGTATTTTTCAAATTTTATTAAAACATGTTCAATTGTTTCTAAACCCTCTATTAATTGCAAATCAGCATATTAGAATGATTTCTGAAGGGTCATGTGACACTGAATACTGGAGGAATGATGCTAAAAATTCAGCTTTGATCATAGGAATAAATTAAATTTTAAAATATATTCAAATAGAAAACAGTTATTTTAAATTGTAACAATATTTCCGAATATTACCGATTTTTACTGTATTTTTAAGCAAATAATTGCAGCCTTGGTGAGCGTAAGAGACTTGTGTGTCTTAAAATATGAATTATTCCAAACATTTTACTGCCAGTGTACTGTATATATAAAAAAAGTATTAAAAAGTTTATACAAAAATAAATAGTGCACTTAACCTTATTAAATTTTAAATTTAAAAATACCACATTTTCCGAATTAAAACTGCTTCTGTCTTGCAATATGAATGTCATATAATCATCTGCCTAGTTTCAATCTCTCTTTCAAACTCTTGTCCTCCAGCCAGCTCACCCACTGCTAGCCACTCTCTCCTCCCATCCTCTGAGCACTCGTCACGGAAGCCAACTCAGTATCTTTACCTTCCGGCCGCGCAACAGTTCAGAGGCCGACTTTGCAGACGACGAACACAGCATCCATGATGCCGGCCGGAGCCGAGCGGGCTCTATGGCGACTCCGTGGCACAAGAGGCGTACGGGCAGCACCAGGAGTCACTCCTCACAGGTGTTCACGCCCACCCTCACCCTAAACGGCAGACTAAACCTTTCACTGGACCAGAACGGCATCACCAACATCGGCTTGCACACCCCAACCTCTTTCCCAGCGTTCAGTATGGAGCAGGTCAAGGAGGGCATGGTATGGTCTTATCTGCATCACACCACATTTACATTGATTAAAAGCCTGTATGTTTGTCCTCCAAAGAACACAAACGTAGAATATCTACATGCATCTATCCAATTTGATTTAATTCAGAGTTGATGGTTTTGTCCCAAAAGTTAGTAAGGAATGCAATGCAACAATTTCAGTGAAATAATAAGTGCAGTAATAATAATTTGATGCTGAAAAATATCAATTAAAAAAGTTCAATCTAATTAAAAAAGGACTGTTTTAACCAATATGTGTATGCTTACTTGGCAGCTTCAAATCGGTGACTTTGACACAATTTGAAAAGACTTGTTCACAATACACATTGATTCAAAGCAGTTTTACAGAAAATCATGATGTAAATATTTATGTCTTAATATTTTCATGTCTTATAGTCACATTTAGTAGATTAGATTTTGTAATGATAAGCACAGTTGAGATTTGCTTCATATATTGCTTTATGTGAGTGTACTATATGTACGAGGATAAATAAGAGTACAATAACTGGAGACAATATAGTTACATTTTGCAATGAAAATAATAATCTGGCTATACAATATATACTGCTTTCCATTAGTGTGCTGTATGTATGCTGATAAAGTTAGATATAGTATGTATCCAACTTTTTAATATTTCGCTGGTTTCGCTGGAAATGTTTCAACAAAAAAACAATCACTTTGCTAGTCTCAGCGCTTATGCTGCTTTAGAAGGGAGTTCACTAGGATTTGATGATTTGATGTTCATTTTGATTGACAGGAGTCAGTGTGTCAGACTGAACAGACCCCTGCAGCTGCAAAGCTGACTGTCGACATGCAGGAGGAAGTCCCGCCCCCTCACAGGAAGAGAGGACTGAGCTCTGTCAGCTTCTTCAGTGACGCCATGGACGGTGTGATGGACAAATTATTTAGGAAAAAAATAATAAAAAGACAAATGAGAGAATTTTTGACATGCTGTAGAAGAATAGACGTGCTGCGTCTCAATTCGCCTACTTATACTACACCCTAAAAGTATGTACTCTTTTTGTGAAGAAAAAGTACATACTTTTGAGTGTGTAGCAAAAGAGTAGGCAAGCTTTGGGACATGCTACTTCGTCATCTTTAACGGACAGTCACCGTAAACTGCTCTGTCAATCATCCTGTCACCGTAAACTGCCCTGTCAATCATCCTGTCACCGTAAACTGCCCTGTCAATCATCCTGTCACCGTAAACTGCCCTGTCAATCATCCTGTCACCGTAAACTGCCCTGTCAATCATCCTGTCACTGTAAACTGCCCTGTCAATCATCCTGTCACCGTAAACTCCCGTCAATCATCCTGTCACCGTAAACACTGTCAATCATCCTGTCACTATAAACTGCCCGTCCTTTCAATCATCCTGTAACCGTAAACTGCCCTGTCAATCATCCTGTCACCGTAAACTCCGTCAATCATCCTGTCACCATAAACTGCCCGCCCTGTCAACCATCCTGTCACTGTAAACTCCCCTGTCAATCATCCTGTCACCGTAAATTGCCCTGTCAATCATCCTGTCACCGTAAACTGCCCTGTCAATCATCCTGTCACCGTAAACTGCCCTGTCAATCATTCTGTCACCGTAAACTGCCCTGTCATTCATCCTGTCACCGTAAACTCCGTCAATCATCCTGTCATCGTAAACTGCCCGTCCTTGTCAATCATCCTGTCACCGTAAACTCCCATCAATCATACTGTCACCGTAAACTGCCCGCCCTGTCAATCATCCTGTCACCGTAAACACCGTCAATCATCCTGTCACCGTAAACTGCCCGTCCTGTCAATCATCCTGTCACTGTAAACTGCCCTGTCAATCATCCTGTCACCGTAAACTAACCTGTCAATCATCCTGTCACCGTAAACTGCCCTGTCAATCATCCTGTCACTGTAAACTGCCCTGTCAATCATCCTGTCACCATAAACTGCCCGCCCTGTCAATCATACTGTCACCGTAAACTGCCCTTTTAATCATCCTGTCACTGTAAACTGCCCAGTCAATCATCCTGTCACCGTAAACTGCCCTGTCAATCATCCTGTCACAGTAAACTGCCCTGTCAATCATCCGGTCACCGTAAACTGCCCTGTCAATCATCCTGTCACCGTAAACTGCCCTGTCAATCATCCGGTCACCGTAAACTGCCCTGTCAATCATCCTGTCACAGTAAACTGCCCTGTCAATCATCCGGTCACCGTAAACTGCCCTGTCAATCATCCTGTCACCGTAAACTGCCCTGTCAATCATCCTGTCACCGTAAACTGCCCTGTCAATCATCCTGTCACTGTAAACTGCCCTGTCAATCATCCTGTCACAGTAAACTGCCCTGTCAATCATCCGGTCAACGTAAACTGCCCTGTCAATCATCCTGTCACCGTAAACTGCCCTGTCAATCATCCTGCCACCGTAAACTGCCCTGTCAATCATCCTGTCACCGTAAACTGCCCTGTCAATCATCCTGTCACCGTAAACTGCCCTGTCAATCATCCTGTCACCGTAAACTGCCCTGTCAATCATCCTGTCACCGTAAACTGCCCTGTCAATCATCCTGCCACCGTAAACTGCCCTGTCAATCATCCTGTCACCGTAAACTGCCCTGTCAATCATCCTGTCACTGTGTACTGCCCGCCCTGTCAATCCTCCTGTCACCGTAAATTGCCTGCCCTGTCAATCATCCTGTCACTGTAAACTGCCCTGTCAATCATCCTGTCACCGTAAACTGCCCTGTCAATCATCCGGTCACCGTAAACTGCCCTGTCAATCATCCTGTCACCGTAAACTGCCCTGTCAATCATCCTGTCACCGTAAACTGCCCTGTCAATCATCCTGTCACTGTACACTGCCCTGTCAATCATCCTGTCACTGTAAACTGCCCTGTCAATCATCCTGTCACCGTAAACTGCCCTGTCAATCATCCTGTCACAGTAAACTGCCCTGTCAATCATCCGGTCACCGTAAACTGCCCTGTCAATCATCCTGTCACCGTAAACTGCCCTGTCAATCATCCTGTCACCGTAAACTGCCCTGTCAATCATCCTGTCACTGTAAACTGCCCTGTCAATCATCCTGTCACCGTAAACTGCCCTGTCAATCATCCTGTCACCGTAAATTGCCCTGTCAATCATCCTGTCACCGTGTACTGCCCGCCCTGTCAATCATCCTGTCACCGTAAACTGCTTCTTCAATCAGGGCAGTTTACGGAGACTCTCCTAATGTGTTCACAATTTGAATATAATGATGCATTGAAAAGTTAATGTCTAAACGTATCTTTACAAAAGTTCGCAATGCTGCTGCAGATGCAATATAATGTAGCCAACATTGAAGAAATATGTTCAATGCTCTCTTCTTAAACTCTTTCTCATGAGACAAATAGTGAGAAGCAAAAATGAACATTGTTTGCTCTCGCTTTAATCTCACTGCCCTCAAGGAGAAACAATACATCTATTGATTTAGATGCCTAAAATATCAACTATCAGCTTAACGTCCTTAATGCTACTTATTTATTGTTTTCCCTCTCTACTTTTAGAACTTGAAGAGGCCCATCAGAAATGTCCTCCATGCTGGTATGAATTTGCAAAGAAGTACCTGATTTGGGCGTGTTCTCCAACCTGGCTGAGAGTGAAGGACGCACTTAAAGTCATGGTGATGGACCCCTTCCTGGACCTTGCAATTACCATTTGCATTGTTCTCAACACATTGTTCATGGCACTGGAGCACTATCCCATGACTGATGAATTCAACAGCATGCTGAGTGTTGGAAACCTGGTGAGGACAATTACAGTAAAAGTGGCGCTCTTAAAAACTCAGTTTGTTTAGACACATTTCCACCGCAGGAACTTCCCCAGGAACTAGGTATTTTGTGGTGGTACTCGGTGAATGAATAAAAAGTTCAGATGAACAGCATTTATTATTTTTATTCACAATATTATTGTTTTGACTATAATTTTGGTCAACTAAATGCCGCCTTGGCAAGCAGCAACATCTTTCAAAAACATTTTTGTATTATTATTATTATTCCAAAAGTTTGACTTGTAGAGTATAATTTTCAATGTAAAGTTTTGTTCTTGCTTACCAGGTGTTCACGGGAATCTTCACAGCGGAGATGATGCTGAAGGTCGTCGCTCTGGATCCGTACTATTACTTTCAGCAAGGCTGGAACATCTTTGATGGAATTATTGTTAGTTTGAGTCTGATGGAGTTGGGCCTTTCCAATGTGGAGGGTCTGTCTGTCCTTCGCTCGTTCAGACTGGTAAGTTTCGATCCTGCTTGGAAATGGACATATCAAAGGAGTAGTTCACTTTAAAAAAACTTTTGCTGATAATTTACTCACCCCCATGTCATCCAAGATGTCCACGTCTTTCTTCAGTTGAAAAGAAATTAAGAAAACATTCCAGGATTTTTCTCCATATAATGGACTTCAATGGGAACCAAACGGTTCAAGGTCCAAAAGACAGTTTCAGTGCAAACTGCAAACTGTTCAAATGGCTTTAAACAATTCCAGGTGATGAATAAGGGTCTTATCAAAATAATATTCATTCATTTTGATTAAACGAGTTCGAACAGGAGAGTCACGAACGCGCATCACAAAACAGAGCAAGGCGACCATTTGAGCTTGTAAAACTTAAACTTTGTTGTTATTTTTTTTAAGTGAGCGATCGTTTCAATTGATAAGACCCTTATTCGTCATCTGAAATCATTTAAAGCCCTTTGAACAGTTTGTAGTTTGCACTGAAACTGTCTTTTGGACCTTTAACCGTTTGGTTCCCATTGAAGTCCATTATATGGAGAAAAATCCTGGAATGTTTTCATCAAAAACCTTAATTTCTTTTCCAATGAAGAAAGAATGACATGGAGATCTGACATCTGGGTGAGTAAATTATCAGCAAAAGTTTTTTTTAAAAGTCAACTGCTCCTTTAATTAGGGTCATTTTAATTTCATGTTAACTATATTGATATATGTTCTGTAATTCGTCCTCAGCTGAGAGTTTTTAAACTAGCAAAATCGTGGCCCACCCTCAACACACTGATAAAGATCATCGGTAACTCGGTGGGTGCTTTGGGGAACCTGACGCTGGTCTTGGCCATCATCGTCTTCATCTTCGCTGTGGTCGGCATGCAGCTGTTTGGGAAAAACTATCAGGACTGCGTGTGCAAGATCAGCTATGACTGCACCCTTCCTCGCTGGCACATGAAGGACTTCTTCCACTCGTTCCTCATCGTCTTCAGGGTCTTGTGCGGTGAATGGATCGAGACCATGTGGGACTGTATGGAGGTGGCTGGACAGCCGCTTTGCATTCTGGTCTTCATGCTGGTCATGGTCATAGGAAACCTGGTGGTGAGTACGAGAGCTGTTATGATAATGAGATGCTGTGGAATACTTGATTCTGATTGGTAAATCACGACATTCTGCAGTAAAACAGGAGAAGAAATCTGGGCGATCTCGAAACATATTTTCGGGCGGACTCATCAGCCTAGACTTGTTGTTTAACTACTGCGCTCTTTTACCGGGAGGCGTGGCCTCCTCGGGCAGCAAAGCAAGTGCATTCTGGGAGTTGTTGTCTTTCATCCACATAAGCCAAAAATACATTTTCTGGCTTTTCTCAGTCTAGTCAAAAATAATTTCACATTTCTGCTACATAAATGACCCATTTTAAATACACATTCATCTTTCCAGAGGTGAAGTATCCATTTAATAACTTTTTTAAAACAACTTACACTGAACTTACTTAAGCTGGACTGTGACACTGTTTTCTTCTGGAAACAAACTTTGTTGTATTATTTATTTTCGTTTAACTGCTTTGAAACAATCTTTATTGTAAAACAAAACGCTATATAAATGAATGTGACTTGACATCAATCATGCTTGTTTGAATAGTTATTAAATAAAGAGGAAGATAAAGGGGTAATTTCCCCATAAATTAAACATTTTTCACCATTTATGGCGTTAGGCAGAATGGCCAAGCTAATAAGAAAGTGAATGCATATTTTATACTGACAATGTTTAGGATATTATTATTGGTATTTTTTTGGAGCTTGGCAGAATAAATTACCACGCACCTTTGTTGTATAAAAAAAGCATGCCAAATTATTCCTTTAAAAGACAAACTTGAGAGAATAAATTTTAATTCAGACACATAGATGTTCAGAAACAGGACACAGAAGCGCTGGCGTTTCCTTCACCGAGATCCCATTATTATTGAAATGACTCTAGGAAGGGCTCATGATGTCTACTGAACTCCTGACTCGCGAATTATCAACTAGTCTCAGGGAGGGTTCATTATTCTTTGCAGTTAAATATATATTGTAAAGATAAACCATCATACTCTGATCTGATTGTGGGGATACATAAGATGGCATTAGAGAAACATGACTTAGGCCTAATACTCCCAGATGTTCTTGATCCAGTCGTGACTAAAAATACCTCTTTTCCCAGAAAATAAGACGCCATAAGCTTTCCTTCCTGAGTTTTCCTGTTTTGACATGACGACTGTCCTAAAAGAAGACACTGATGATGATTCAAAGAATGAAATTGCTGATGTAACAAGCACAATTATTTTAAATCTCAATACAATGGCACAATAATCACAAACATTAAAAAATCATGGCCAAAAGGTGCGGGGATCCTGGTCTACTGTGTTTGGCAGATTGTAAACAAAGGAAACCTCAGGGTAGGGTTATGCAAATGGAAACAGGTCATTGAGGGATAGATTTACAGGTTTATTGGCTGTTGTGCACTAGAATACTTTTGAAAAGACTTTTTCAATACATTCCTTTCTAATTTACCCTATTTATCCTCAAATTAACGTTATCCTGAAATAATAGTGCAAACCCTGACTAGCAAAGAAAAATCAGCACATTTATTTTACAGCCTTTATTCTTTTACCCATAAGTCCCCTGTTGTGTGTTGCTTGGAAACGGATTCAATAGGTCCACAGGCTTGTGCTTAAGCATACTTGAGTACACGCTGTTATCCTATTCTGGATTTTCCAGCTCAAAATTGGCAACTTGTGTACTCTATAAATGTAAAAAATTCAATAAAAAAACAGCTACAGAGGCAGCTGTTTGACATTGGTAATTCATTCACAATCCTTTTTAAAGCCAGGTAGAAGGGTAGAGAGCATGGACATGTACAATTGTGATGTCCTTTCTAGACTCAATACATACACTCACCGGCCACTTTATTAGGTACCCCATGCTAGTAACAGGTTGGACCCCCTTTTGCCTTCAGAACTGCCTCAATTCTTTGTGGCATAGATTCAACAAGGTGCTGGAAGCATTCCTCAGGGAGTTTGGTCCATATTGACATGATGGCATCACACAGTTGCCGCAGATTTGTCGGCTGCACATCCATGATGCGAATCTCCCGTTCCACCACATCCCAAAGATGCTCTATTGGATTGAGATCTGGTGACTGTGGAGGCCATTTGAGTACAGCGAACTCATTGTCATGTTCAAGAAACCAGTCTGAGATGATTCCAGCTTTATGACATGGCGCATTATCCTGCTGAAAGTAGCCATCAGAAGTTGGGTACATTGTGGTCATAAAGGGATGGACATGGTCAGCAACAATACTCAGGTAGGCTGTGGCGTTGCAACGATGCTCAATTGGTACCAAGGGGCCCAAAGAGTGCCAAGAAAATATTCCCCACACCATGACACCACCACCACCAGCCTGAACCGTTGATACAAGGCAGGATGGATCCATGCTTTCATGTTGTAGATGCCAAATTCTGACCCTACCATCCGAATGTCGCAGCAGAAATCGAGACTCATCAGACCAGGCAACGTTTTTCCAATCTTCTATTGTCCAATTTCGATGAGCTTGTGCAAATTGTAGCCTCAGTTTCCTGTTCTTAGCTGAAAGGAGTGGCACCCGGTGTGGTCTTCTGCTGCTGTAGCCCATCTGCCTCAAAGTTCGACGTACTGTGCGTTTAGAGATGCTCTTCTGCCCACCTTGGTTGTAACGGGTGGTTATTTGAGTCACTGTTGCCCTTCTATCAGCTCGAACCAGTCTGGCCATTCTCCTCTGACCTCTGGCATCAACAAGGCATTTCCGCCCACAGAACTGCCGCTCACTGGATGTTTTTTCTTTTTCGGACCATTCTCTGTAAACCCTAGAGATGGTTGTGCGTGAAAATCCCAGTAGATTAGCAGTTTCTGAAATACTCAGACCAGCCCTTCTGGCACCAACAATCATGCCACGTTCAAAGTCACTCAAATCACCTTTCTTCCCCATACTGATGCTCGGTTTGAACTGCAGGAGATTGTCTTGACCATGTCTACGAGTTGCCGCCATGTGATTGGCTGCTTAGAAATTAAGTGTTAACGAGCAGTTGGACAGGTGTACCTAATAAAGTGGCCGGTGAGTGTACATCTCAAGTGTGAGAGACCTGGGTTCGAATCCACTGCGAGACACCAATGTGTCCCTGAGCAAGACACTTAACCCCTAGTTGCTCCAGAGGCGTGCGACCTCTGACATATATAGCAATTGTAAGTCGCTTTGGATAAAAGCGTCAGCTAAATGAATAAATGTAATGTAATGTAAAATGTCAAGTGGTGTGAAGGTCTCAAATTAAAGTCACTAAGATGGCATATTGTCCAAAATTATCAAAT